CCGCCGGGGGGGGGCGGGAGGGATTTTTGCAGCCCTGGCTGCTGTTGGCCAAGGAGATCTTTCTCCTGCCGATGAAGAAACGCCTCTTGGAGCACGCACCGTCCTCCTGCAGCTGGTTGCAAGCTGGTGTCTGTGACTTAGAGGGATGCGAAGCCTGCGCCTTGGCTGTCTGGTTGCCAGGGCTCCGGGCGGAAGAAGATAAATGGAGCAGAGTACACGGAGCACCTCGGCATCAAAGCCTTGGTACACCAGGATGAGTTTGTGAGGGCATGATGCTCTCCTCCGTCAGAGGAGATGACTGGACTGTGCCCTGGTTTGTTTTCAAAGGAATTACGAGCTCTCTCCAGTTATCACAAGGAATTACGAGCTCTCTCCAGTTATCACTGTGCTTTCTCCCATCAGGAGGAAGCGGCATCCATGTCCCATGTTCTGGAGATGAGCTCCAGCCAAGTTGGTCTGGCTGGGAGGGGAAGGAGGGGGGGGGCGTAGGGGGTTTTGGGCTGAATGGCAGAGCAATGCGACTTTGCGGTTCTGAGCGTACCCCTTCACCCTGGCAGAGAAAAGCAACTTGACGGTGGATGCGGTGAAGCTGCACAATGAGCTGCAGTCGGGGTCCCTGCGTTTGGAGCGGCCAAGTGACAGCGCTCAGCTCCGTATGGAGGAGGACAGTGCTGGGGAGGCCGCCACGGAGAGGTCCTCCGGCACCTTCCTGAGTGGGCTAAGCGACTGCACCAACGTCACCTTCAGCAAGGTGCAGCGCTTCTGGGAGTCCAACTCTGCCGCTCACAAAGAGGTACGGAGAGGAGCAGGGCTAGGTGGGGGTCCAGTGGGGATGGCCCCCCCAGGCGTGAGGCTGAGAGTGCTGACCTGCTCCACTTGCTGCTCATAGATCTGCGCTGTGCTGGCAGCCGTGACGGAGGTGATCCGCTCGCGGGGGGGCAAGGAGAGCGAGACGGAGTACTTTGCCGCGCTGGTGAGCGATGATCGTGGGGAGGAGGCGCGAGGGGAGCTGCTGTTGGCAGCCTGGGTGCGCTCTCGGGAGGGGGCAGGGGGTGGAACATGCTGTGCCTGGACGTCCTTCTCCAGCAGAGATGCTGTTGGGCTGCTCCTGGTTTCTCTGCTCCTCTCCCCAAGGCTTGAGGATGGGAAAGGGCTGGCCTGGTGCGAACCCTGGTTTCTCCTTGCTCACCTCTCCTCTGTTCCCAGATGACCACGCTGGAGGCGGTGGAGTCCCCCGAGTCGCTGGCTGCTGTCGCCTACCTGCTCAACCTCGTCCTAAAGCGGTGAGCGGCTGGCAAAGGAGTGGGGAGAGTTACCTGGCCCCATCGTGGCAGAGGGGCTGGCGCTGGGGAAATGACCCAACCAGGGCAGGCTGGGGATGCGGTTCCCTGTGAGACTGCCGCCGGCTGCCTGCTCCTCGCACCGCTGATGCACCCCCTTCTCACAGCAGGGTCCCAAGCCCCGTGCTCATAAAAAAGTTTTCAGATGCCTCAAAAGCCTTCATGGGTATCGTGTCCTCGCAGGCCTGCAGTAGCTCCACCTCTGCCCTGCGATGGGTGAGTAGCCAAGAGGCAGCCAGCCGTGCCAGCTCTGCCAGGGTCGAGGCTGCTACTGTAGGGTGGTGCTGGGTGCTCGGCTTGAGGCCGTTGCAATGAGGAGGTGTCTCTGGGGGGTGATGCTAACACCCCTGCCGCTCCCTTGTCGTAGGTACTCTCTTGCCTGGCCACGCTGCTGCGGAAGCAGGACTTGGCGGCCTGGAGCTACCCTGTCACCCTCCAGGTCTATCATGGCTTGCTGAGCTTCTGCGTTCATACCAAGCCCAAGGTGAGCTCCCGGTGCCCCTGGCGAGGGATGATGCTGCCTTTGCGGCTCGTTTCTGGGGCTGACTGTGCCCCCAGGGTCCATGGCTTCTACCCACCTGGGCTCTCCTTCCCCTAGGTGCGGAAAGCGGCGCAGTATGGCGTGTGCTCTGTCCTGAGGGGCAGCGAGTTCATGTTTGGAGATGCGGCCCCTGAGCATCACCCTGCAGCACCCTCCACTGCCAAGTTCTGTGTGCAGGAGATCGAAAAAGCTGGAGGTGTGGAGCCCTGGAGCAAGGGGTCTGCAGCTGAGTGCGGGGGGCCCTGCGGCCGTGGGAGAATAAGGACTTGAATGGAAGAGGGGAGGGTGCAGCACCCTGGATTGCTGGGGAGGGTGTGAGATGTCTCTGGGGTGCCTAAGGTGTTTTGGAGGGTCCTCAGCCATCTGTCTGTTGCTCTGTTCTTCCCAGAAGTCGGGGGGCAGGGAGGTGTTCACCCCAGCTCCGTGGGTCAGCCCCAGCTCTGTCATGGGGGCTTTGCCTCGGGCGGGGCTTTGCCACAGGGTGCCATGGGCTCAGATGTTGCTCTGCTCCCACAGGCACCAAGGAGGAGACCACCACCCTGCACATCCTCGCCCTGCTGCGGGACCTGCTGCCCTGCTTCCCCGCGGCCGTGGTGAAGACCTGCTGTGAGACCTTGCTCCGAGTCATGACTCTCAGCCACGTGGTGAGTGTCCCCACGCCAGGGATGGTGAGGGCAGCCCCTTTGCCCCTCGGCTGTGCCCTGGAAGGGCTCGAACCCCCTCGGCTGCCGGCTGGGAGCCTGAAAATTCAGGATGCAAATGTGGAGGAGCCCGGAGCAGCTTGTCTTGCTAGCCTGCCTGCTGTGGAAGAGGGAGGCTGAAGACGGGGCGCAGTCGCAGCAGCGCTGGGCTTCCCTGGGCAGAGCCTTATTTGGCGTAGGGGGGGCCGAGGGTGTGAAGGGGTGCTGCTTGCCATGGAGCCCCCCCTCCTGATGCCATGTCCTTCACAGCTGGTGACGGCGTGCGCCATGCAAGCCTTCCACAGCCTCTTCAGCGCCCAGGCCAGCGTGGCCTGCCTGCCGGCTGAGCTCAACGCCCAAATCATCACCGTGAGTGCGGGGCACCGGTGCGGGGAGGGACGGGGCTGGCAGTGCCGGGGCACTCACCCCCCCACCCTCTGCTTCCCCAGGCCCTCTACGACTACGTGCCCAGCACGAATGACCTGCAGCCACTGCTGACCTGGCTGTCCACCATGGAGCGGGCGCACATCAACCTGGGCAGGTGCGGGCGGGCAGGGGCCACGGCTGGTCAGGGGGAGAGGCAGTGGGTCGATCTCTCACCTGTCCGGTCTCTCTTCTCCAGGCTGCAGAAGGACCTGTGCTGGGCTCACCTGCCCCGGCTCTTCTCGGCCGCCATGAACTGCTTCCTCTCACCGCACTCCCAGGTGGTGGCGACAGCAGCGCAGACCCTGGAGGTACTGTGCATGGGTGCCTCCCTGCTTGGCTGCCCTGGTCCTCGTGGGGGGCTCTGCCCGGGGGTTTGGGGCTTGCCAGGGGGTGGTGTGCCCCTCTGCGCCTGCCAGGGCAGGGGCTTTGCAGTCCACTGCTGCCCTATTTTCCCTGTTTGTCCTTGCAGACCCTCCTGAGCGAGTGTGTCGCTCCTCACATGGATGACCTGGGCACCGTCTCTGCGTCTGCCCCAGCCCCTGCCACCTACCTGTGCAAGATGTTCAGGTGAGGAGCGGTGGTGTGGGAGAGGCTGTCCCCGTGGGTCTGGCTGAGCTCTGAGCAGCCTCTGCCCGGTCCCTGATCGGTGCTGGGCCTGATCCCTGCCAGTGTGACCGTCTCCTCTCTCCTCCCCAGATCGGTGGAGGAGGGCCTGACATATCGTTTCCATGCGGCGTGGGACGAGGTGCTGCGGGTGCTGGAGGTCTTCTTTGAGACATGTGGGAAGCAGTGCCACCCCATCATGAGGAAGGTGAGCCAGGCCAGGAGGGTGTCAGGCTGATCCGCGGAGGCAGGTGGGGTGGCCGTGCTGCTGCCTGGGCTGCGTTGCCCTCTCCGTCTGCGGAGCGGGGCTGTCCCGTGCCCTGTGCGTGGGCAGGGTCTGCACAGCTCTGGGACCCAGCATGGGGACATGCAGGGCAGCTGGCATCCCTGGGCAGGAATAGCGAGTGACACGTGCCGGACCTGCCTCAGCGGCTCCTCTGTGACCGTCCCTCCCCGTCCCCG